GGGTGACCACTTCCAAGATCGAACCATAAGTATGGTGCTTTTCACGTTTATCCCAACAGTTGTTGAGTGGAAGGTACTAGATACAGTTAAAGTTTAAAAGGATGAATCATGTCTGATAGAATGAAAAGAAATACTTAATGTACAGAAGCAGAACATGTGTATTGTACAGTGATATCGTGCTTCGCTCTCGTCGTGTGAAAGTTATCTTTCTTTGTTCGATAAGAACAAGGAATAGTAACACCCTCAAATGGTGCGTACGAAGTCACTGTTGCTTGTCGTGCCTTAGCTCTGTCTTTCTCGAACGAAACCACCTAATGAGACCCTTGAGAAAGGTCGAAACCGGTCGTGGTATCTTCTTTTGATTCTTTCAGAAATGCATTCTGTCTGAGTCTCTAGTAACAGAAATAGCGGTTATAAAATTCCTAAATATAGTTATTTAAGTCGAGTTTCACATTAATATAGACTACATCTTTCATTTAGTAATTCTTTATATTGATTAGGGAGCTTGTCAAAATTTAAATTCTAATTTATTTTATTTTATTTTGTATAATTTCGATTTCTTCGGTTGTATTGTGATACATCGGCATATATATACTTCCAGTGTGTTCCAATCTTTACTTTTATAATGAAAAACACTTGATATTATAGTTTCTTCCTTATATTACGAAAAATATTCTATCCTAAAAGGAGCTAAAGACGTTTGTTCTGTCATATGTGTGTTCTAGCATTAAGCATGAAATGTTTTTCAGCTGGAAGAGAGCCAGACAGAAAAAGTATAATGTATGTCGCCTAATGTGCAAAGCGTTCTTTAATGTGATGTAATTGCATGTAATTGCGCATTCTATAATGGCTTTAATGAACAGATTCTTTGTAGATTTAATAGTATCAGTGTATTTATTACTTTTTATCTATTTATTTTATGATACTAGAACTTTTGAACACTGAATAGCATACTTCAGAGATTTTTCCATTTGCAAGTGTCATTTGTTGGAATTATTTGAACTTTTAAATTCGTTGACTTCGCTCAATGAAAAATTGGCTGCCCAGTTGTTTGTAAAACAAGAACAAAATTGTGTTTAAGTAACAGATTGGTTAGGCGTTCGTTAAGTGCTAAAAATGTTTCACTATAAGAAAAGAGTAAGTCAATCCTGTTTATTGTTTCAGCAGAGAATACATTGTTACCTTTGTTTAGAACCGACTTGGATGAAATATGGTGAAACCTGATTTAGTTGGTGAAGAAGAAAAAAGTGTTCAGAATTTCACAGCCATTTGGCTAGATGAAAACTGCAGTAACATGAATGATGTACAAACTCGTCTAGATGGTATATTTAATTACGTAAAAATATTTGATGATGCTGTGAACTGTTGTACTTACATAAACAGTATCAAAATAGGAAAAATGGTTATTATTGTATCTGGCTCCATTGGAAAATATTTTGTACCATTAGTATGCGCACCCTCACCCCCACGCTCACCTCTATGTGGACGACTTCTAATAGGTCATATTTACATCTATTGTGACGAGCAACAAGAATATAAAGAGTTGATAGTGACAAAGTATCCAAAAATCTGTGGTATTTTTGTTGATAAAAAGATCTTATTTTCTAAAGTAATTAACGATATGAATATCCATGAATCAAATGACTATACAAATGAACAAACACTTAATATTATCGATGATTCACCGTCTATTAAAGTGTTTAATTCAGATATAAAACAAAATTCGATTCGGAATTTAAGTAAAGAATCTGTTCATTTTCTTAAACATCAATTACTCGTTGACATTTTATTAAATATGATACATGAATCATTTGCTCGAGACGACATGATAGAATTTAGCCGAAAATACTATAGAGAAAATGAAGCGGAAAAGAAAAAGGTTGATGAATATCAGATGGTTTATAATTCGGATAAAGCGGTCGACTGGTATACACTTTCGTCATTCGTGCATCGTTTAATAAATAAAACTTTTCGCACAGAAAATATCGATCATATATATACGTTTCGTTCGTTTATAACTGATCTTCACAATCAAATTGTTCAAATACGAGATTCTCATAATGCATCGATACCATCAGCTGTTTATCGTGGAAAACGTCTACCACCTAGTGTATTTCAAAGTTTAATAGATAATGAAGGTGGATTGATTTCAATAAACGGATTTTTATCAACAACTGTTCAACAAGAAGTCGCTTGTATTTTTGCTGGAAGTGGTGAAACACTTTTGGGTTGGGAATCAGTTATATTTGAATTTCATATTGACACAAATATAGTAACGAAACCATTTGCTAATATTAAAGACTTTAGTAACATGAAAGACGAAGAGGAAATCTTATTTTCAATAGGAACCATCTGGCGTATCAAGTCTGTTAGTAAATCTGACACTGGTACATGGCGTGTACATTTAAGTTTAACTGGAGAAGAAACTGTATCATCGATTGAGTTGTTAGAGTATTTTAAGAAACAGATTGATAAAAAGGCATGTACATTATTAACTTTTGGAAATATTTTAACTGAAATGGGTGAGTATGACAAAGCAGAAACATATTATAGAATTTTACTTGAAGAACCGTCGATCGATCACGAATATACAGCAACTATTTATATTAATATTGGACGCCTTCGATATGAAAAAGATGACCTTGAAATTGCATTAGATTATTTTAAAAAAGCATTTGAGATTATAGAAAAACTACCAGAATCAGCGAACGATATGAAAATGATTCCATGTACAAAACGTTCTCGTCCATTCTCATTGGTAGAGAAACAACAATGTATATTAAAGTGTTTGTCAGCCAATGATCATCCATCATTTGCAAAATGTATTAACAATATTGGCGTTGTTTATTACATGAGAAAGGATCCTGAAGGAGCACTTAAGTGTTATGAACAAGCGCTGTTGCAGGAATCGCGATCTCTACTCGATTCATCAGCAATTTATAATAACATTGGAGTTGTGTACTACGACAAAGAGCGTTGCCATGAGGCTAAACATTACTTTCAACAAGCACTTGAGTTTGGATTACAAGCATTACCAGTGACACATGTATGGATTGTAGATTATACAAAGAATATAGAAGCCGCGATTAAGCAAATGCCAATACAAAAGTATCTGTCAATGTGAAGCTATGCACCTGCTTGCTTTTCACTCTGTTCGGTTCAGCTGTTTTCGACTGAAAAGGAGCTG